TACAAACATCAATTTTCAAATATCAACAATGAAAGATGTTTTTTCTGGGGGGAAAAAATTCTTCCAACCAAATAATGGAACATGTGAATATGTGATGGGAAAATAGTTTTCCTTTTAAAATAATTTTTCCCTAGAAAATATTTTGTTTTGGGGAAAATATCTCCCCCAAACAAACGTGTCCTGAAGAAAGTATAACATGGTGTAATTTTCATAGGTATCTACCTATAAGAGCATCATATTTCAATAGTGACAACCTTTTAAAAACTCTAGGCTCATGCATAGCAGCCCCTTCTCTAGAATGTATTATACTTCCCCCGTCCCATAAATATGGCACACTTTGACCGAGCACAGGGACTTAAGAGAGGATAAATTCTGTAGTTGAAATTTATGGAGAGCAAAGAGAAGTAGTATGAACCGCACATTCTTTTCCAAAAAAGGGAATGAGATAGAATTTTGGCATAGATGAAAAAGAAAAGCGGGAACATAATTTTGGAACGGATGAAGTAACTATTATTGCCTATGCTCTCATGTCTTGCTGGTACTTGCGAGTGTAACTTGTTTCCTTACACGACTTAATTTTCATCCATATGTTCTTTGCGAAACCAAGTACAAAAAATAATGCAACTCTTTGCTTAAATATCCATCACCGTGAGCGTGATATGACTACTGCTTTAATCTAAGTGTTTCATTTGTCATGTGCAGACCACATTGCTAAACCACATATTGACTGCCAATCATGGAAAGCGGATTGCAGTTATCGAGAATGAGGTTGGGCATTTGGTTGATCAGTTATTCTCCAATGCTGTACAATAGTGATGATGAATGTAGTCAAAAGTTGATCTTCATTTTATATGTCTAACTAGAGTAACATCTTGAAGATTATATGTTTAGTGTCTTGTTTGATAAACTATCCTAAATTAATATCTAACGGCACAGTATGGCGAAGTGGATATTGATGGTTCTTTGGTTGCTGCAAAAACTTCTGGGGCTGAAGACATTGTCATGCTTAACAATGGATGTTTGTGTTGCACGGTGAGGGGTGATCTTGTTAGAATGATTGCAGAATTAGTCAGTAAGAAGAAAGGGAGATTCGATCATATTGTAATAGAAACAACAGGTATAAACACCATTGACAGTAAGATGGATATCAATGCCTAATTTTAGATATGTGACTCATGTCACATGCGACATAATATTGATTTTTCTATGAATTCTTTTTTTGTGCAGCCCTGTAAAGAGATTCTACATTTTTAAATAATATCAAATCTTTTGCTAATTTTGAAGGCTTGGCAAATCCAGCACCAATTATTCAGACTTTCTACGCTGAGGATCAAGTATTTAATGATGTTAAGCTGGATGGTGTTGTAACATTAGTTGACGCAAAACATGCTGGTCTTCACCTGGATGAAGTCAAGCCAAAGGGAGTGGTTAATGAAGCAGTAGAGCAAATTGCGTATGCTGACCGTATTATAGTGAACAAGGTATATCTTTGTTGATATGGCGTCTTTTGTTGGGTAGAGAAAGACAAGCTGCACAGCCTTTATTCAGAATTTGGGGCAGCAATATTTAAACTAAACCTCCTCCAATAATTTATTTTTAAACCTTTCTTTAAATGAACACTGGTCAATTCAAAACATGAAACTAATCAAACTATAATTTTTTAAAAAGAGGCAGGCTGTGAATTTAACCTGTAACTGCTGCAAACAAATATTTTTTTTTAAAAATCATTTAAAACAGTAGTGGCTGTTACATCAAAAAATTAATGGTTTTTAATAATGTTTTTCTTATGCGACATTTATGCTTTAAACTGGCATCTTGGCATTTTCAATTAAAAAAAATATATTTTGATTAGTGGCGCTTTGGAAGTAGATGCTGGCATGCTGCCCACTATTTTTTAAAATGAATTAAAAATAAAATATATGACTCCCTTTATTACTCCCTCCGCCCCTAAATGAATGACACTTCACGCAAAACGAAGTAACTTCTCAAGTTTTTCAATTCATTTTATTTAAAGGTTAGTATAAAAATAAATAATAAAACTTGCATATTTAAAAAGTACATCAAACGTTTTACAAAAAAAGAAGTAACAAAAATATTTTACTTTATCAAATAAACAATGAAAACACACTGAGAAACAAAAGTTCCGGTGATTTTTGAATAGTAAAGAGTGTAATTCATCGTGGGACAGAGGGAGTATAAAAAACGGCAGCACCTACTTTTGATCAAAATTTTATAAAAATTGAGGCGCTTGCTACTGTAAAAACCACCACCCATGTTTGCAAAATTTCCACAGAAAAAAGTAAACAGAAATGCAATGTGAGTTCACCCACTCCAGAATGATGTTGTGGGTGTTTTTTTGCAATTGCAAAACTCGATAGGGATGTAGTATCTTGGGATCCAATGACTAAAGTTTTAAAGATATCTGAACATACAAACTATGAACCAAATTCAAAATAGCCAACTTATGGCACCAATATTGTCTAGGTGTCAAAACAAAAATTGTCTAGGTGTCAACTTGTGGCACCAAAAATATTGTTCAGCCAAGCAAATGCAGTATGTCACACTTGTAAGTAAGGTTTAGGGAGTATGGTATATACTTGGGCTTTGCCTCTTCATCCAAAGAGTAGAAATGCTATTTCCGTGATTACTTCTGGCAATATGTACAAACCACAAAGTAATACTAGAAGAAAATAAATTTTGTTGTTCACTCTTTTGACTGAATGTTTCTTTCATTTTACAGACTGATCTGGTTGATGAAGCAGCCATGGCTTCCTTGATTGAACGCATTAGGGTTGGTGTTTTTGTAAATTACTCTTCTTAAGAACCAAAAGTATCTTTAACGGCATCTTTACAACATCACTTTGCTAATAACAGAGAATAAATCAAATGGCACACCTGAAGATGACAAAATACGGAAAAGTTGATATGGAATATGTTCTTGGTATTGGAGGATTTGATTTGGAAAGGTTATCTTTTCACTTTTTCTTTCACGGCTTGGGTTTCCATCCTAAGAGGTCAAACATGATAGGAGTTGTAGTTCGTAGTCTAAGGTTATATACGTTATTTTTTTTAAATTCCATGAATATCCGATGTGAGACATGCTCTCAAACACCCATAACAAGTAGACCTAGGGCCAGTCTCTTGCAAACTTGTCACAGATGTTCACATTCTGGCTGCAGGTGTTACTAGCTCTCATTAGTCTCATATAATATAAAAACTTATGGGTTTTATTGGGGTAATTTTCTTGGATTTACTAGCTCTCAATGTTTTTATATTTGTGCATCAATGTCATTCAGGGAAACTCATATCAACATTAATTTGTCTCGCTTGCTCCATTGTTTGTTATCTTGAACTTATGGACTAGTAGATAGTCATACAAATTGGTCTAATATGCCATAAGTATCTCTAGTTGCTTTGACATAATGGATCTGCCAAAATAGGTGCCTCTTTATCTTGGAAAAACTGTTCACACCACAGTAGAATTCAAGGGAAGATGTTTCCATGATATTCTATACTCAATGCCTCTGCTCCGTTAGGGCTCGAACCTGGGCGAACTTCCCCATGAATCCCTGTGAGTGGGCTTCTTACCACTCAAACCAGGGTAGAAGTTCATTGAATGATTCACATTATTAGTCTCATCTCTACGTAAATCTCAACCACATAATTTCACCTTTACGTAAACTCAGTGAAAAATTTATCTTTTTTTCATACGCAGTAATTTTTTGTGAACCTTTTCCGTGTGATGCATTTATTATTTAATTTGGTCATTTCTACAATGAAAGAATTCTGCACGCGTACTTTTTTCCTTTTAGTTATTCCGTGCAACTCATAGAAGTAAAATCTCTATATCTATTCTTTTTTTAATACCGTACATTCATGATCTCTTTGGCCATGAAGGCTCTCATTAGGCCATATTGTTTCTCAGCTCTGCTTAAACTATTTGAGCTTTCACTACACATGGTTATCTAATTAAAATTGGCTGAGCCTGAAACAAGTGATTCAACTTTTCAGAGTTTTAGGTAAGATTATTCATGCCCCACAACCCACACAACACACTGGCACTGCCTTAAAGTTATATGAGTTCGATAAGGTGGTGTCAATGTGCGTCCTGATCTTTAACTGCGTAATAGAGATGGGGGTTAGAGGAAGAATGAAACAAGCGATTCCTATGAAATGCTACTATACATTATACCTTTAAGAGTTTTTTAGGGGAGATTATTCTAGCCCCACAACCCACACAACACTCACTAGCACCACCTTAGAGTTATATAAGTTCTATAAGATGGTGTCAATGTGCATCCTGAGCCTCTGCATAATAGAGGTGGAGGCTACTGGAAGAATGCAATTCTCATTGAAATAGTGTTCATTAAAAAAATTATTTTATTTAAAATGATCTGAATATAGTAATTGAATGATTAAAAAAGTCTGCATGATAATCTAATGTTTTGTCCAGTTAATTACGATCTGACTTTTGATATAGGAACTTAATCATTTCAACATTTCGAGTTTTAGACTGAATAAACTTTGATACATTTTACGCAACTACTTCAAAAGCTAGGATTATTTCTTGCAAATATTAACAGTCAGATTGTTATTATTATTAGCATTCTGTTATAAGGCTAGCTTATCCTGCTCAAATTTTCCATTTGTTTTTATTGTTTGCTCAGTCATTCCATTCATTGGTGTGGAATGCTTCAATCCTCATTTTTGTTTCCATTCTCCCTTTTTGTTTTCCATCCTCCATGTCTGCGTGCCTAACTCTTTTCCAATGCAGAATTGAAAGTGCTATTGATACAGAAATTTCCAAAGAAGATCATGACCAACACCATAAACATGAGCATGACGCCCATCACGACCACGATAATCATCATCATTCACATGGTAATTTGGCCAACTTGTGGTCATTTGACACTTTGAAAAATAAGTTTGGAAAATTATGGTTTACATGCATATTGTCGCCTGTTTATATTTGCAGATCATCATGAGCATCATCATTCTCACAACCATACTCATGATCCCGGTGTTTCATCTGTTAGCATTGTTTGCGACGGGATCCTAGATCTCGAGAAGGTTGGCATATCGGCCTGTTTTGTTTCTCTTATTGACGCCTAATAATTTAACCTCTACCTCCATCTTAGTGTGTTTGTCCCGTTTGACTTTTTGCTGTTAAGCAGGATGAGCTTCGATCATCAATTAAATAAGAATTGCCTTACACATCAATACAAAAATGACATCATTACATTTATCTGAAAAATATTTTCAAAAATCATTTTGTATTATTAATAAACAATGTAATATTTATTTATATAATGATCATTGTTTGTTCAGTTTGATTGCAAAAAGTCAAAATGGACAAACACATTAGGACGGAGGAAGTAGATGATATGATGCGATTAAGCTCCTGTGTGGTACAAAAAAGAAAAATAATTGTAGATTTCTTTCTAGTAAATAGTCATGGCATTTCATGTTTCAGGCTAACATGTGGCTGGGAACATTATTGATGGAAAGGAGCGAAGATATATATCGGATGAAGGGTCTTTTGTGTGTTCAGGGGATGGAGGAAAGATTTGTCTTTCAGGTTTTTTTTTTGGGTTTTTATTTTCTTATAGCTATATTCGCATTGTTGCTTTCTGTATTCTAACATTAAAAGCTCGTTCAGTGGGAGGGAATAAGCATCATACTTGGCTTATTTCAACACATTTTCAACCTCTTTAGCCAATTTAAACTCTTTCCAAACGGTGCACCGCACAACACATTGGTTGTTTTCTTTAATGTATCTGTATACACATGTTTGTTACAGGGAGTTCACGACATATGCCAAGGTTCCCCAGACAGGCCATGGCTTCCCGATGAGAATAGGACGAACAAGATTGTTTTTATCGGAAAGAATTTGGATGGGAAAGATCTAGAGAAGGGTTTCAAGGCCTGCCTGCTCTAGTGGTAAATCCATTGGAGAATATAATCTCCGCAAGGCTAATGGAAGGTGAATTGACTTTTTTGCTTTTGAAGTTTCGCTACTTTTGTGGGATTTTACTCGGTTGTTGTTGCTCTTGAACTTTCACTTCACCTATGGGACTTTTGAACAATTTTTGGTGCTTCATGTTTGGATGCCTCGAAATTCACAATATTTAGTTAGTGAATTTTGGTGGGGAAAATAAAAAAATGAGATGGAAAACTAATTTCTTTGTTTGGTTAGTGAGGAAAAGAAAAGAAAACTGAGAGGGAAATAAAAGTGTAGAAAAAATGAATTAAAACTGGAAAAGTTGTTTCCTTTCAAAACAGGATGGAAAATGAGATAAAGGCTTGGCGGCTTCTCCCTCTGAAATCCATCTCCGTCTCCCAAGAAGGATGAAAAGTAAGAGACACCCGCTAATTCATCCGCATGCTAGATTTGTTTTTTTCTTCATAATTTAGAATTTGAGTCAACAGTTGTGAAAAAACTCATAAAAAGAGATGTAAATAGTAACTTGAGAATTTGTTAAAAAATCCCCTCAGGTCTCCTTTTTTTATATATTGATATAAAAATACGAATTATAGAAATATGCTCTATATTTTGTTAATTTACAAAATGCACAAAATAAAATTTACTTTTTTGTTGAATCTATTGAATTTCTACTTTAGATGAAAAGATTTATGTTGCGTAAAAAGTTATTATAAATAAGCAAAATATAACAGTCAAAGATATTAAATAAGTTTTTCTCATTTATCTATTTAAAGAACAAAAAATTAAGAAATTTACATATTAAAAATAAGGACGAGATTGGATGAGGATTGGTTTTAACCTGAGTACTCGATCCCAATAGGTCAATTTCTTTTTATAAAGACCGGACTAGTCCGGGCCAATCTCGTGATAAATACTAAATAGTACTTCCTCCGTCCTAAAATCATCTTCTCCGTTTGACTTTAGGCCTTTTATAAGGGATTGAATAATTTGGCTTTGACTTCCAATTTTGCCCTCCAACCTAAAAAGCAAAAAAACTTTAAAAAAACTAAGGCAATGAGGCCACGTTCCAATAAAAAACTAAGACATCATTGAAAAAAATTAAACACAAACACCATTCATTTTATTCTCAAGCAAGTACAGGTACAAATTAAATCAAGATAGCCCCTATCAAACATTTCAAATTCTACAATTTGTTCATCACGAACCAAATTAAACTTTGGATGGAAAGTTCTAAACATTTTCCCCAAACAAAAAAAACCCCAGCACCTTCATACTCTATAAATAACCCAACCCTTTCTATTTTTAGTAACCAACTCTAAATATTCTATTTGCTTCTCATCCTCATTCTCTTTTCTTCTCATCACACATGCGTCCTCTGACAGATTCTCTTCCTCTCACTGATCATCCTCCTCTTATTGATTGTCTTCCTTCCACTTTCAATCCAGACAGTCATATGATTCGAACTCACAAAGACATAGAATTGTTGAAGTAATTCTACCACATTAAGAAAAAGATCTCAGATTAGTGAACATCTTAAAAAGGCACTATCAACAATGTTGTTGCAAAGTTTGAGGTTTCAGTGCATACTGGCAGGAAAAAAGTGTTTATAGACATAGAGTTTATTCCAAACATTCACTCGCCCAAAGGACAACCATTAGGGTCTTGGCAGCTGCCCTTGGTATGTCCAAATCCACTATCCATCTTTGTATTAAGAGAGGTTCGCTAAGAAGTCATTCCAATGTAGTTAAACCTTTTTTAATAGATGATAACATGCTGCATAGATTGCAATTTTGTTTCAATCATTTAGAACTCACTAGCATCCCATGTAACCTCAGGTTTAAAACTTTTCATAATGTTCTCCACATGGATGAGAAATGGTTTTTTTATGTCCAAAACATCACAAAATTATTATGTGACCAAGGATGAACTAGATCCCTACAGAACATGTAAGTCAAAGCAATTCATTACTAAGGTCATGTTTTTATATGTTGTTGGTAGACCATTAATGTCAGACAATGGAGAGGCTTTTTATAGGATGGAAAAATAGGAGTACTTTTATTAGTTGAGATTGTGGCTGCTAAAAGAAAGAGTAAGAACAAGGAGGTAGGGGTTTGAGAACTGAAGCAACATCTTAGTGTTATCAAAGAAGTGACTAAAGAAATGTTGGTGAACCAAATTATCCTTGCAATTAAGCAGAAATGACCCTCTTGCTTAGACAGATCATAATGCTCCAGCAACATAATGCAAAATCACACATTTCTGTCACAAACCCATAGTTTATGGAAGCAACAATTGTAAATGGGTTCAACACAATCCTAAGTAACTAACCCCTACCTCCACAGACCTCAACATTATAGACTTGGATTTTTTAGAGCCATGCAATCACTCAAAAAGAAGTGTGGTCCTAAAAATGTGGCACAACTAGTGGAAGTAGTTATGGGTGCATATTCAGCACTTACAACAACCAACTATGGGTGGAAGTAGTAATATTGGCCTTGCAAAGATATACCGTGCAAATTCACAAAGTGTAATTGTTGGTTCATTTTCAACAACCAACTACATAATGGATTTTGAGGACGTAGAAGGATTACCCCACCTTTGAACCTCGTTAAAGTTTGCGTGTCTCTCTTTCTCTCTCTTTACTTTGTGATTATATTAACTGTGAAACCAACCAATCCATATTGATTACTGCTCCAACAATCCACCAACTTCCGCACACAATCTAAGTTCTCAAGAAATTTAGATTAACTCATTTTTCACGTTTTCAAAAAGAAACGAAAAAGATTTTTTAAATTAGAAATAAAGTCTATTCACCCCTGACGAATGATTTTTAGCGGTAGTAAATTTCACTCTAAAAGAGATCAGTTTATTCCCGTGTCGTATTCACGTGGATTGGTGTTAAAAGAAATTTTCTATTAAAATCTAATTAGGCAAAGTTTTACTCATTGGTGTTGGAAGCCTTCTAAATTCGAAAAGTATTTGTGATTTGGATTCGAAATTGAGTTGGACAAGGTAATAAAATAATTGTTTGATAAAAAGGGAATATGAATTGATTTCAGGTAGTAGGAATTTTTTCAGATATTTTAACTAGTTGGATTATTAAATTAACTAATTAATTTAGCTAGTGAGTAATTTTGTCACAATAACTCCATTAATTTTATCCTATCTCTAGGCATTATTAATGTGCTAGAATTGATTGACTAAATTATTTTTCTCATTCATTGACAAATGGACATAACAATTTTTCAAAGATTAACTAATAAATTGGCCAGATTAATTAATTAAAACATACAACAATTACTAGCAACTTAACATTTTAATTAATTAAATTTAATATTCCAACATGTTATTTTTCCTACATTCCTACTACCCTAATTTCAATTCACATCCCTATTATATTTAAAAGGACATGATAATAATAAAAAAATGCACAAATTGAATAACAAAACATGTTTATAATATTAATTGAAGAAACTTACAACTTCCAGAAAAGTGGAATTGGAACAGAACTGGAACTGGAACTTAAAACTATACTAATGAGGGCTTAAATCGCCACTTAAGGGAGAGGAAAAACGAGTGAATTGATTTTGAATTGATGATGATGGAAGAAGACTTAACGAAGCTTCCTTATATAGGCATAGGAATCTCCGGGGCGGGGTGTGGGGCGGCCGCCCGGCAGGTCGCCCTAGGAGGAATATTCGAATATTCCACCTCAAGTTGCTGGCAGTCGCTATTCAGTTCCGTTTGAAACCCGGGGCTGGGTCCGGGGCGGTCGCCCAAGAGGTCGCCCCGCAGACGATATGAATTATCTCTGAGAAATGTGTCGTTATGTGCCTTATCTTGCGTTTGGGCTTCGAATTTCTGTGGAAAGCTCTATATTTTGTGCTGAACATTTTTCTCTTCTCGAGCAACGGACGAATTTGGGTTTAAATATCTCAAATATTTTATTTTCTTTCAAGTTTTTACTCTGTTTGAACGAGTTTCAGTTTGAAAACTCCAAATTTGTTTTGAACACCCTTTTTTATAAACAAAATGACAATTTCAAAATATTTATGAAAGAAAAATGACTAATTTTATTTTAATTAAATTTATTTACACACAAAAACCTTTAAATATGAGTAAAATAATAAGTACAAAATGTTCTTATCAAATTTCTCACACTGAAATGTTGCTTGCCCTCAAGCAACAAACTGAATAACTAAAAGAATTAAGACAACTTAATGCATGAACGAAGAATATTTACACAATCTATTTGTAGGAATAAGATATTGGACAGTCATCAACTTAATTTTCGAAAAAGAAGTTTAACCCATATTGTTAGAAAATAAATCTTTTGTCAAACTCATATTTTTATACAAATTTAATCAAATTAGGTCTGCATGATCAAAATTTAGGAATATTGCTGTTATCAAAATCATGTTCTCTAAATTTTAAATAACAATTTTTCAGTTACTTGAATATTTTACAAGGTCAAAGAATCTTTAATGATTGAATTAGAAAATTGTTTCTTGAAAATGTAACTTTCCAATTTTTTTTTGAATAACAACATCACTTTGTCATGTTGACACGAGCAAAAACTTTGATCATCATCTCATGACATAGAACCACGAGCTTTTTGGATTTTATTCACTCAAAAACCTCATCACACGACATAGAATCACATGCTTTTTGGCACTAACCCAAAGTAAGTCTCATCATCTGACATAGAACCAAATGCTTTTTTACTTTAAATTTACTCCAGAACTCGTTCTCACCAAAGTGTGTTGCAAAAAATGTTTTATTTGAAAAAGAACTATTAAAGAAACAATAAGTGCTCATATTTTGAAAAAATAGTGGAGCAGTATCTTAACAGATTTCTAATAAAACAATTAAAAGTTATTTGACATTACGAAATATTTTGTACAGAATAAAGATTTACTGAAAAATTAGAGAGCATGATATTAAAACAATTGTTAGACCAAAATTTGTCAATTTGTACCAAAAATTTTCAAAAATTTGCACAAATATCTATGTTTGACAAAAAAATTAAGTTTCCTTATTTTTAGGGTAAAAGAATTAGAAAACTGAAATTGATGACTGTCTATATAATTTTCCTACAAATATAGAGATAAATTATATTCCTAAATAGTGATTCAACCATAACTCTCTCCTCCTCACACTTAAACAGAACCGCCCCTCGCAGGTTTTAAAGTGATCAGAAATTAGAGTTATGGTGGAAGAACTTGCATGCAAATACTAAGTTGTCCTCACACTTAAAGATAAACAATATGCTTATGTAAATAAGAGTAATTTAAAATAAAAATAGTTTACCAAAGGTGTGTTCAAAACAAACTGATTTTCCAACCATTCCTGAGTCAAACAAACAAAACAGAAGAAACATATTAGTGCAAGGGAATGGCTCACTGCCCATGTCCTCTTCCTCGCCCGCGACCGTACCCTTTCTGGCTAGTGGTGCTAGGAACTCCATACTGCGCCTTCATGTAGTCTAAAATCTGGGCAATATGTGTACCCTGCTCTAAAAGGCTAGTCTCAATGCGCTGCTGATGATCCTGGTTTTCCTTCCAGCGAGCCTCCTGACGTTGCTCAAAGGCGGTCCACCGCTCCTCATAATGCTGGAAGCGTGAATCAATCGATGTCCGGAGATCACCAAAAGCAGCGGGCAGCTTCTCAAGTGTAGTAGGCAATGGACGTGGAACAACGGAGGAAGAGGCTCCATTTGCGGGCATGCTCTCTGGCATGTATGAAGGACTGCCTGTGCCTGTGCCCTGATCTGGCTCATATCCAGTGTCGCGTGGTCTCTTCCTGAATCCCATGTGAATGAGAGACTCAGAAGTGATAGGCCATACACTAGGCTCCTTTGGGAGAAGGGCTGGGATGACGATGTTAGGCACGAGGGCGCGCGCCAACAGAGTGACAATGGGTCCTGCCTGGTTGTGATGGCGATTTCTTGTCGACTGATCAAACAGGAACCGCCCAACAAAAGAGGAAAGGTCCACAGGTGTGCGGTTCTCCAGGCTCCAAAAGAAAATCAAATCGGTGTCGTAAACTCTGTTCGCATTCTTATGACGCCCGAAGTAGCTGCAACAGAAGATGTGGCTAAGTATCCTCCACGCGGGACTCCTCCAATCGGATGATGAGCTGTACTTGTTGCTGAAGTCCCGGGTGCTGTTTGAATGAGTCCTCCAAAATGCCTTGACGTCAACATCCAATGGAAGTCTGGGGAGCGTGTTTCCTCATGAGTATAGATCCCCAGTAGGCATCCCAGATCAAGGACGGGGATATCAAATCTCATCCCGTGAAGCGTGAACGTCATTCGTATTGAGGGATGCACTCCCTCCACATCTCAAACTCTGCTCCTATAAACGCCGAACCTCAGCGAGCAAATGAACTCCATCGTCAGTGGCACGTTAGCCGGTGCACGGAGTGAAAGCAAGCGCCTCCATTTGGGGTCATAGGAGAAGTCGTCAACCTCCTCCCAATACCCCATGCTCTCCAATGCTGCGTGGTCCAACATCATGGGCGGCGTCAATACCTTCTTGCTACCCCAATCTCGGTATCGATCGCGCGCCTCAGGGGTAGCAAAAGGTAAATCTAGTCCACTAGCAGGAAAATTAGCCATCTGCACAAAATTGAACAAACATGTTAAACTTGCCCCCAAAATTTGGTGCGATAAGTACTTTTTTTGTGTTCTATGTTCTTTTCTCTCAATTCTCTCAACATAAGTGCGTTAAAAATGGTAACTGGACCGATTCAGAATATTCGGGATCGGGCAGAATGGTGCCAATTAGGTGCTCTTAGGCTCACCCGAATAAACCTTTCTACAGAATGACCCAGTAGGAATGGTGGGACAAGTTCAGCTCCTGAAGGCATCACCCTTTGTGTCCACTTAAGTACCATTCCAGCTTAGACAGTCATTCTGTACACGGTACAGATATCATTTTTAACACACAAATACAAAAAGTTCTCCCTCTCTCTCTTTTTTTTTTGACGGGTTGCCTCCCGTTCAGCGCTTCTCTCCTCCTTCAGTCCTCCAAGACTTGGAGGTACATTATGGCTTTCTCTCGGAACACATCTCCTCCCTCAAATTTCTTCAGGCGGTGACCATTGACCTTGAATTCACCATTCTTTCCTCGAATTTCTACCGTCCCATACGGATAGACTTTAACAACTTCAAACGGTCCAGACCATCGAGACTTCAGTTTCCTGGGAAACAACCTCAACCGGGAATTGTACAGAAGTACTTGGTCCCCTTCATGGAACTCTTTGGACTTTTTAATGTGTGCATCATGGTATTTCTTGACACACTCCTTGTATAGCAGATTGTTGTGGAAAGCCAACGTTCTCCACTCATCTAACTCGTCCAGTTGGTAGAATCTCTCCCTTCTTGCTACTGATGAATCCAGACACACGTTTCTGAGTGCCCAGAGTGCTTTGTGTTCAATCTCGACGGGCAGGTGACAAGATTTCCTGTAAACGAGATGGAAAAGAGTAGTTCCAATGGGTGTTTTATAAGCAGTAAGGAAGGCCCATAATGCATCATCAAGCTTCAAACTCCACTTAGCAACGGTCTTTTCCAAGATCACCTTCAGATCTCTGTTCGTGTTCTCCACTTGGCCTTGAGTCTGGGGATGGTAAGCAACATCCCCTCTGTGTTGGACTCTGTATCTCTGCAAAGTTCTGGCCAAGGGATCATTCTTGAAATGTGTCCCTCTATCACTGATCAATACTCGAGGTACTCCAAACCTTGCAAACAATTTCTTCATGAAACGCACTGCCGTGCGTGCATCATCCTTCTGACAAGCTTAGGCTTCAGCCCACTTCGAGACGTATTCGACCGCCACCAGGATGTTCTTTATTTCCGTATGATCTCGGGAATGGTCCAACAAAGTCAATACCCCAAACATCAAATACCTCACAGGGAAGTATATAATGTTGTGGCATCTCATCACGACGGGTGATGTTTACCGTCCTTTGGCATTCCTCACACCTGGTCACAAATGTATGAGCATCTCGAAATATGGTGGGCCAAAAGAACCCACTATCCAGCACCTTCTGTGCGGTTCTTGTCCCTGAGAAATGGCCACCAACTGGCCTAGCATGACAGTGTTTCAGTATCTCTTCTCCTTCTTCTTCATTCACACACCTTCGCACCACCCGATCAGCACAAATCCGGAATAGGTAGGGGTCCTCCCAGAAGTAGTGATTGGCTTCCCGTTTGAGCTTTCGTTTCATACGAGAAGAGATCATGGTAGGTTCGATATTACCAGCTTAAAAGTTAGCTACATCGGCATACCATGGTGACTTCTCATCAGCTCTGAGTATCCTCTCAAACGGAAAAACCTCATCGACTATTCATTCTCCGAATTGACCAACCACGTCTGGTTCTAGATGAGACAGGTGGTCGGCATCCTGATTTGCGAACCCACTTCGGTCCTTGACCTGAACATTAAACTCCTGCAACAACAATACCCAGCGTAACAACCTAGGCTTAGCTTCATTCTTCTGAAGTAGATATCTTAACGCCGAATGACCGGTGAAGACAGTTACTTCTGACAGAATGAGGTAAGGCCTAAACTTTTCCAGAGCGTATACTATGGCGAGGAATTCTTTCTCGGTGGTGGTGTAATTCAGTTGTGGCCTTGACAATGTTCTGCTAGCGTAGTAAATAGGATGGAAGTTTTTACCCTCCTGTTGGCCAAGAATAGCCCCTATCACTTGATCACTTGCATCACACATAAGCTCGAATGGTTTGGTCCAATCTAGAGCCACAAGGACTGGTGCGGTGCTCAATTTTTCCTTTAGAGTGTTGAAGGCATTAAGGCATTTGTCATCGAAGTCAAATTCTACTCCCTTTTCTAGCAAGCGAGTCAAAGGCTTAGCTATTTTAGAGAAATCCTTAATAAATCTTCGATGGAAACCAGCGTGGCCAAGAAAGCTACGGATGGCTCTAACGAAAGTTGGTGGGGGAAGTTTCTTTATTGTTTCAATTTTGCCATATCAACCTCGACACCCTTGCTAGACCAAGAAGTGACATTTCTCCCAACTTAAGGCAAGGTGGGTCTCCTCGCACCGCTTTAACACCTTCTCAAGGTTCTTGAGACACTCCTCAAACGATTCTCCAATGATGGAGAAATCATCCATAAAGACCTCCATGAAATCGCCAATAAATTTCTCAAAGATTGTGATCATACATCTCATGAAGGTCGCAGGGGCATTACATAAACCAAAAGACATTCGCGGGAAGGCGAACGTTCCGAATGGACATGTAAATGTGGTCTTTTCCTGATCCTCAAGGTTAACATGAATTTGGAAGTAACCGCTCATTCCATCGAGGAAACAGTAATAAGCATGCCCCGCCAGTCTCTTAATTAACTGGTCAATAAATGGAAGGGGAAAATGGTCTTTTCGGGTGGCATCATTCAATTTGTGATAGTCAATTACCATTCTCCACCCGGTGACCGTGCGACTGGGCACAAGTACACCCTTCTCATTTTGTACAACTGTCATACCCCCTTTCTTTGGTACAACATGGATGGGACTGACCCACCGACTGTCAGAGATAGGGTACATGATACCTGCCTCTAACAATCGGAGGACCTCCTTCTGGACAACCTCCATTATCTTCGGGTTAAGCCTCCATTGTGCTTGAACAACGGGCTTACACCCTTCTTCAATCGCAATTTTGTGGGTACAAAAGGCCGGGCAGATTCCTTGAATATCCTCCAACTTCCAAGCAAAAGCTTGCTTGTGTTATCGGAGGACTGTCATTAGATCAGCCTTTTGTTACACACTCAGATCAGATGCGATGACGACTGGGCATTTGCCCTCGTCATCAAGAAATGCATACTCAAGATGTTTAGGAAGTGGCTTCAATTCTAGGGAGTCAGATCCCTTTGATTGATCGTTTTCGGCCTTCACTTCCGAAACATCCTCACACTTGTCTGGTTCAATTTTCTTTTTCTTCAAAATTTCCTCCAGACCAAAGTGTTTCAGCAGACCCTTTATCTTTCAAAATTTTAATAGAATGACAAAATTCAGTAGGATCTGAAGGTTGGTTCATTAGGTCTGTCAATTTGAAGGTACACTCATCTCCTCCAACTTTAAAGGTCATCTTCCCCTCGTGAACATTAATCAAGGCCTTAGCAGTTGCTAAAAATGGCCGGCCCAAGATTAGAGACATTTCAAAATCCTCTTCCATGTCCATGATTACAAAATCAGCTGGGAATGTGAACTTATCAACCTTCACGTGCACGTCTTCAACTATTCCCCGAGGGTAACGGACAGAACTATCCGCTAGTTCAACACATGTGTGTGATGGTTTTAGCCCAAAAATTCCTAACTGTGTTATTCGATTTAGTCGTTGTGCCCACGCCTTAGAGGGGGGGGTGAATAAGGCGTTTAAAATCTTTTCGGAGTTTGATAAAAAAGGTGTTGGAAAATGCGGAAGCAATATATAAAACGCAAAAATAAAAGCGTAAATAAAATGGACACCGATTTTATACTGGTTCGGAAAACCCCTACTCCAGTACCTCAAGGCTCCTCCTCAAGGATTTCCGAATCCACTAAGTCCCGGCCTCTTGAACTCCCTCAAAGCACCGCACTAGTTTTGGCAAGCAACCCTTGCCAATAGGATTCACTCCGAGATTTCACAACGGCTATCTTGAACCGTTTACAATGAAGATTTAACGGCTATCTTCTACCGTTCCCCCAAGGATTTCAAAGGCTATCCTTGAACCTTTACCCAAGACTTATACGGCTATCCTTGACCGTTACAACGTGAGAATTTAACGGCTATTCTCGACCGTAAGAAGGTGTGTTTAAAGAACACAAAAGAGGATTCTACACAACGGCTAGAATATAAAAATGATAAACA